TGCTGAACCCAGAAGGGAGGCACACTGCTGCATCATCAGACCGGGCTGAGAGAAGCCTAAGGGAATCCGCCAGAGAGAGGCAGAGAGAGAACTGAAATGCTTTGACAGCCGTGCCAGCAGTAAGCTTCTCTGCCCCCGCTGCCTCTTGGGCAGCAGCTGCTCTGATGAGAACCTGGGATTTGAGGGAAGGGTGAGATCTTACACAATTAACGTGGACATTTAGATAAAGCTGACACACCACATCTTGGTTCTCCCCCACTGTGTGTAGTTCTAGGTCCCGGATGTTAGAATTAGACAGTATGCCAACTACGTGAGCCCGTGCGAGCCTGATTTGTCTTGGTTTTTTCCTCATTCGATTTTGTAAATACTTCACTGAACCATTTCAAGGGGCCTTGTAGGTGCCAGGCAGTGCTGAATACGGGACTTCTGACCAGTCAGATCCAGTCTCTGCTCTCAAGCTTACACTCTAAGGGGTGTTAGGGAGAAGGCGGCCCCTCGCACACATTCTACAAAAGAGCTGCACTCACTCTCATGAGTTCACACCTCAAGTCAAAACCCCAGTCAGGACACACTTGCCTGCACAAATTCTAAATGTGTTTCTGTCTGCCTCACAAGTTGCAAAATGTTCCATTGCAGGTAAGATGCAGAAATGATCATCACAATGTTGTTTCTGAACCCAAAATTAGAAACCATCTAAACATTCAACAGGAAAATAGCTAAATAAGTCAGGTAGCTATTAAATGTTTTCAAAGAATTCTAACGATATGGAAAATGCTCATGATTCATTAGGTGAAAAGCAAGACACAAAACTCTATATGAGATCAAATTCACTTAAAAATTATACTATACATGTAAATGTCTAAATTACATATTTACAGACCAACAGCTCAGGTGCCTCTGTTAAGACTCTGGGAGCATTTTTAATCAATGTATGATCTGATTTCTAGAGGTCAGAGGCTACTTGATTTCAGCACTTGAATAGCAAATACCGTGCCATCAGGAAGCGCCCAAGAACCCTAGATGCACTAGGGGGACGATCTTCCTGGAGAGGGGAGCCTTCAACAGGGGAGCCTTCAACAGGGAGCCGGCGTGCTTACAGAGCGCACACTGATTTAGCTGCTTTACTTTTCTTTGCAATCCTACTTTGCTACAGTTTTCAAATTCGGTAAGCCACACCTAAAGTAAGATTTAGAAAATAAGTAGAATTCATAGAGTTCTACAGCTAAAAGGAACAAAAGTGAGCTAGTCAGTTTAGCTTCCTCCCACCACTAACAGTCTGTCAGCACCCAAATTAAAATGAAACACACATATAAAATCATAGATTGATATTTCTGCCATTTATTTTTTAAAATCTTATTTAAAATATTAAATAATACAATTTCAGATATGAAAAAAATTACTACGATAAAACAGTTCAGGTGTATTTCCGTTGTGCTCCCCCTCCTTATTAGGACAGTAAATTGTCCACCTGAGAGAAATGATGGACTGCCCTCCTGCTTCTTTCCTCTCTAAGCAAAGCACATGCCCACTCGCTCACCCAGGCCTTGTGAGTGGGTGTTTAACATATATTAGGGGTTATGTTTTCTAAAAAATTGCAGTGACACTTGTAAGTCAATCACAGTTCAAATCACATATTTACACAATGATCGATTCTTTATGATAGACAGGCTAAAATGAAATACAGAAAATAATTTCCAGTTGCTGTTAAAAAAAGAAAACGAGTACAAGAGGAGAAAAAGTCAATGTCCACATATATCCTCTATGTATACAACTTCATTCAGGTATTTTAATTTGAAAGATCTAGATATAATATTACTTGAGTGACAATGGCCACTAAAATTTATTCAAAGTTACTATAAAAGAATAAACAAAGTGAAAAAATCTGATATAATTTTAAAGTCTGCCCCTTGCTCAAAAGCTTGGAGGAACCCATGCTATCAATTGCTAACTAAAAGCAATTGTACATGTATTTAATATTTTACCACAATTGTACATGTATTTAATATTTTACCAAATTTCTACCTCTAAATTTAATTCAGTAATTCAAACCAAAAAATGGTATTGCTATAACATTTTAACTATGCCCACAGTGAACTGCAGAGTCTCTATTGCCAGAATTTCTAGATACATTTATTAATTAACCTAAAACTGTGGTCAGATTGAGTAACGTCATTATCTTAAATTATGTTTAAATTATCCAAAAATATCCAAAGCAACTTTTCCTGGAGAGAAAAATGTTATTTATATGCAAAGTTTTATTACATACATCCTTGTAGATTATAGTTTGGGAGCACAAAGAAATGTGTCCTTAAAAAAAAGTTATTTGGATGGCAGAAAGAGAATCTGAGTCAGCAGCACTACCATATATGTTAGAATTTAGTTACAAGTTTGGGATCTTTTAAAAGTAGCATTACCTATCCTTCCAGAAGTACAATGAAGAAATCTGAAACAATAAAAACTAACAATGTTTAGCTCCACATTTTGGACACCTGATTGAATTCACCTCTAAAAGTGTAGATAAAAAATTACATACTCCTTGTTTGTGATATTTAATTTCCAAAGCACCAAGGCAAAGTAAAGAGAGACCCACCTCTCATTTAATACCTACAGCCTATGGCAAACATCTGCACAGTATCATATAAAAAGTCAAGCAAATAAAATTACATAATAAGCAAACTCAAATCACAGTACTTTAAAAAATATAATCATTGGTAATCTTCAGAGAAGGCATTGCCTCATTAACATTCTGGTCTAGACGATGATATTCCACTGTTTTGGAACAAAGACCATCACGCCATTTCCTGCTTTGAACCAGAAGGAAAATCTGAAATAAAACGAAATAGAGGTACAAAAAAGAAAATGGAGGAGACGTTAAAAGATTTTATAACAAGTGTTCTCTCTCTCACTTCGGTTCCCAAATACAAAAAGTAAAATATCAACAACAAAAGGGCTATTTTGTTTTCCATCTTATAAACAAAGCTAGACAGTGATTTTCAAATTATAATGTACATGGAGTGCTTGTTGAAGACTGATTCCTGGGCTCTGTCTTCAGAGATGAGATAGTAGATTGCAGTAGAGTCCAGAAACCTACTGTTTAACAAATCCTGTAAGTGTTTACACTAGAGATGGCCCAACACTAAGCACTGGGATAGAATATCCCTGGCATTCAAAATTTTGTCCACATACAAATATTTACAAAGCTAGTGATAGGCCACTAAATCAAATAACCAAAAAGATTTGTTCATTTGCTTGTTTTCGAACTTAAAGTCGCAAAACAGACTTTAAAATTACTGGTTCTCAAAACCGGAAAGTATTTTGAAATTATCCAGTCCAGTTTTGTCATTTCTCTGGTGAGAAAATCAAGGCCCCAAAGGGAAAGATGGCTTGCCAGGAATCACTAAGCAATTTACAATAAAGTCCAAAACTGAGATTTCCTGACCAGTAGGTATTAAAAAGGACATTGCATGTTTGATCTCCCTTTAAGTATTTGAAAAGCTTAACTATTCAGCTCTGGGACTAAGAGTGCCAAGATGCACTCTCACACTAAATTATCCATCCCCTCCTATTTACACCTCCTTTGCCTCACAGAATGCAACAAACCAATTCCAGCACAGAAACGATCATCACAACATTATTTCTGAACCCAAAACTGGAAGCCAGCTAAACATTCAACTGGAAAATGGCTAAATAAATTATGTAGCTATTAAATCATGTTTTCAAAGAATAATAATGATAATGGGAAATGCTTGTGATTTGCTACGTAAAAAGCAAGATACAAAACTCTACATGAGATCAAATTCATTTAAAAATTATTACAGGTATGTCTGAATTTTGTACATAATGATAGACCAGAAATACACTAAAATGTTAATAATGCTTGGCTTTGGGTGGTAGCTTACATTGTCTTTTCTATACTTTGCTGTGTTTTCTGAATTCCCTAAAATAATCATGTAATACTTTCACAACTGGGAAAAAGTTTTTAAAATACCACTAAGTTCAATGCTAAATTAATTAAAAGTACTAAATTAACACTC